AATGGTGCATTGGCGAATGTAAATTCAACGAGGCGATAATTGTTCTCTTCCTTAAGACGGAATTTCCTATAAACGTCAAACGCCCGAAAATAAACATTTACATTTGTACAACATATAATTTACAAGGTCATTTAAAGGTCACATCGTAAATATATGTATTTTTTCATTTATATGATGGAATGGGGGAAAAGAAAATACACGTTTCCTACGTAAAAAATGGCAATGACCTTGAAAGAGAGAGACATTTAAAATAGTTCTTTCATCCGATTCTCTTCAATCAGTTTAAATTAGGATTTCGTACTATCACTAATAAAGATGTTCAGCTGGGCTGGCTTTCGTGAGACACCCTGTATATCACAAATTTTCCACGTTCAAAAACTTTGTCGAATAACCTCTGAAAATCACTGAAACCAAAGGACCCATTGTCGATAACAACGTTTCTCAACGTTATCCTCTTTGTTAATTGTGAGGTTATGTTACAACACGTTTGACGTGATTTTATATAATAAAAGCTGAAAGATGGAGAAGAAACGAGATTTGCAAAGAGAGAGAGAAAGAGAGAGAGAGAGAGAGAAGCGGAAGATTTGCAGAGTTCGTGTCGAGACGCGTGCGTCTGACGCACATAGGAAATTCCGTGTGGTGAAATCGACGCGGCACACGTAGGAGAAGAACACGTGGCGAGAAGGTGAGGACGGTCAGCGTTTATTATGTCGGTGTTATGCGCGCGTACACACCGGCAGAGAGGCGGAGTTGCAAATCAATAACCCGTGTTATAAGGTATTTGGGCATGCCGTGGATATCGATTATGGTAGCATGGTCGACACAGAACACACAAGAGCTGTCTGAAGACGATGGCCACGCGCGTAAGCTGCAACGCTATCCCGTGTAAATTAGGATGAACGCCTGGCCTGCGTCGAGTAGATTATCAGCCGATTGGCAAAGTATACAGGCCATCCAACTTTATACTTAGATATTTGACTGCCAATACGTACCATACGTGTCTACCTACCGTTGTAACGTTTAACAATTATCAGTGTGTTGACAACGAAACACACGAAGCAATGAGTTGTCATTAACGAGACCATGAACCACGGAAAGAATAAATATAAAGAATATGTATAAACATTAACGAATATATATAAATATAATATATAATATAATATATAATATAATAAATATATAATATAATATATAATATAATAAAGAATACATAATATAATATATAATATATATAAAGAATAAATATATAAGAATATATATAATATATATAAAGAATAAATATATAAGAATATATATAAACATTAATCGAAAGAATAAATTTATACGTCAAACGAAACGCAGACACGAACCACGGAAAGAATAAATATGCACTCGATTACGTAAGTATAGTCACTTACATGGAGTTAAAGTTAAAGATAATCTTCGTAAATACGCAGTGTAATAATGTGAGCTGCAGCTTGGGAAGACATCGTGTTACCGATAAAAAAGGGACAAGGGAAGCTACAGCGGGTAAAAAAGAGTGGGCGAGTTGGATCTGCGGCAACGTGTCATTGCGGAAGTCAGGTTAGGTTGTTTGGTAAGTGGCACGAGCGGCACTTTTTCGAGTAAACCTTCCTTCCTTCACCTCCTCCGACTTCATTATTTAATTCGTTAAATCGACGCGTTCCTAATATTTTCCTACATTGCTGTTTCATCGTTAGAGAACTTTGCACGTTGCAAAATTTTGCAAAAGGGAAAACATTTTTTTTTTTTTTTTTTTTTTTTTTTTTTTTTTTTTTTTTTTTTT